ATCAGGGTCCGTCCGGGTACCTCCCCCACCCGCCGCCTCCTGCTGGGCACAGGCCTGAAGTTCCGGGCAGCTCCAACCTGTGTGAGACTGAAGTTTCACTGTTGGGTTTCTGGGCAAGGGTCTGCAGTCCTTGGGACTGCAGAGCTTTAGTGGGGAGGACGCACTTGTGTGCACCTCCTGTCCAGGGACCCCAGGAGAAGGCGTGGGCACAGATGGGAGGGGCAGGTGTAAGGGGTGGGTCTGTGGCCCAGCGCTCACCTTCTGGAACAAGATCACTCTGCTCCTTGCTAAGGACGCAGGCAGCACCCAGATCAGGAGCAGCAGCATCCACCTCGAGCCAGCCATCGGACCCCAGGCCTACGGTGGGGGCACGTCCTGCCTCTCAGCTCGCGTGCAGGCATCCCGCTCCCTCCCTGCCCCTTCCCACTCCTTCCTCTTGCAAAATGATTTTTTTAAATTAATTAGACTTTATTTTTTAGAGCAGTTTTAGGTTTATAGAAAAATTACGTAAGTTTTCATATACCTGCTACTCTCCCCTGCCTCAGTCTCCCCTATGATTAACACTTTATATTACTTGGTGCATTTGTTGCAGTTGGAGAACCAACTCTGACACATCATCATCACTAATGTCCACAGTTTGCACTGGGGTTCACTCTTGTGTGGTATATCCCATCAGTTAAGAAAAACATATAATGACATGCATCCACAATTGTGGAATCATACAGAGTAGTTTCCCTTCCTTTAAAAATCCTCCATGCTCTGCCTATTTTTCCCTCCCTCTCCCCAACCCTGTCAACCACTGATCTTTTACTGTCTCCATAGTTTAGCCTTTTCCAGAATGTCCTGGAGTTGGAATCATACAGTGTGCAGCCTTCCCAGACTTCTTTCTCTCACTTAGTTACATGCACTTAAGGTTCCTCCATGTCTTTCCATGACTTGATAGCTCATTTCTTTTTAGAGCTAAATGGAAAATGGATTTTAAACAACTTTTCATTTGTTTTTCCCAGCAAATGATCATGCCCTTTACTAATTTAAACGGGAGAGTCTGTGTCAGCATTGAGCAGGCACCTGCAAGCCAGACTGTGTCCTCACACACAGGCTTGCTTCTCCCCAGATCTCTCCTGGGGTCCCCTCTCAGACAGGCCTTCCCTGACTGGCCATGTAAAAACACTGTCATCAGACACACCCTACGACGTCATCCCATCTGTAGTGCTTGTGGGCTCTTGGCTATCAGGGATCAGGCGCCCGTGCATCTGTGTGTGTCCCAGCCTCTCATCAGGAGCCCACTCTGCAGGACCAGGGCTGGGTCCTTGTCCAGGCATGCCTGGCACGTCACTGGCACTCAGTAGATGTCCGCTGAACAAACGACTGTTGTCTTCGCTCAGCATCTCCACAGACAAAGGAGTCTGCCCCGCCCAGGGTGGCGCAACCCCTCTAGCCACAGGTACAGGCCCAGGAAAGGTCACAGAACACTGCGTTGGACCAGCAGGACTCCTTCCCAGGGATTTTTCCAATAGAACTTGGAGGAAGAGATTTTGGGAGAATCTCTCTTTTTCCTCCCAGATTACAAAGCTATAAGGAAAAATCCAAGAGACACTACAAACTGTCAGAAGTAATAAGAGAGTTCAGAAAATTGCCAGGTCAGGACCAACATAGAATTCAAAACTATTTCTCCAGACCAGCCACAAATAACCAGAAAACAGAAAATAAAATACCATTTACTATAACAAGAAAACTATAAACTAAGATTAATAAACAATGCACGAGTCTATATAAAGAAAAATGTTAAAATCTCTCCTTCAGATACCCTCTCACACCCCAAAGGGTCTTGCGTGAGATTATTTGTCGCTGTGCTGTGCGTGCAGGTGGACATGGCGACCATGTGAACCCCATGGTCGTGTACATGATGGCAGGTGCGTAGACTGGAACTCTACACAAGCACTGAAAGAATGAGGAAGCTCTTCACGTGCTGGTGCAGAACAACCTCCATGACATATCAGGTGAAAGAATCAAGATTCAGAACACTGCATAGAAAGCTGCTGTTTGTGTAAAAGGGAAGAGCAGTGTACCACGTATAGGCCTGAATCCGCGTGAAACATCAAGGTGGCACCACAAGTAAACAACCTCCATGACATATCAGGTGAAAGAATCAAGATTCAGAACACTGCATAGAAAGCTGCTGTTTGTGTAAAAGAGAAGAGCAGTGTACCACGTATAGGCCTGAATCCGCGTGAAACATCAAGGTGGCACCACAAGTCAATGGGGAAAGGATAGATTTTTTTCTATAAATGATTTAGGAAAGCTGTTTGCTATAGAGAAAAATTAAACTGACCACCTCTCCACCACGTAAAAGGCGGACTCCAAACGGATTACAGGTAAAACCAAGAGGAAAGCTCCATCTCTCTCTCTCTCTCTCTCTTCTCTCTCTCTCTCTCTCTCTCTCTCTCTCTCCTCTCTCTCTCTCAACATTTTGGATGATACGCTGTAGGTAGTCTGCATTCTGTTATGTATCTAACAATATTATCTGATTGTTTTAACATGACTGGACTCAAACCCCAAAGTCTGCCTCCCGTGCAGTTGCAGCAGCCAAAACCTCTGCTCAGGAGTTTCAGTCTCAGCACAGCTGCCAAGTTCAACCGTCAGCCAGACGCGTGGGCTGAGTTCATGTGCAGAATTGGGGCTCCCTCCCATTCCAGGGCTTTTGCCATTCCCCCTGCTTCCCAGCTGCTGTGGTACCTGCCAGTAGCTTGGTGCCCGCACCCCTGCCTTGCCACCATCAACGCAACCGACCACGAGTTTCCATGCTCCTTGTAGCTGCCCTGTCCTCAGCCAAAACGCCGTAAGAACTCACTCAGTGCTGTTCCTTCGTCCACAGCGACTCCCTCCAGTTCCCACCTGCTTTGGTCCAGTGCCTTCAGGTCACCATTTTTTAGCTGCCCTGTCCTCAGCCAAAACGCCGTAAGAACTCACTCAGTGCTGTTCCTTCATCCACAGCGACTCCCTCCAGTTCCCACCTGCTTTGGTCCAGTGCCTTCAGGTCACCATTTTTTTAATTTTGTCCAGAGTCAATTGCTATTGTCTGCAAGAGGCTTGACCCGGTACCAGCTGTTCCGCCCACACCGGCTGGGGGTGCTGCCTGCCTCAGAGCTGGCTCATTCTGTGCAGTTAACCGCACAGGACCTTCACCTCCGTGGTCTTTGATACCTCAGCATGACACCGATCCTGCCCTCTTTAGATTCTCTTTAAAAAACAGACAAGCAAATCTGCCATGTGCTGGTGGTTTACAAGATGGTGTTGTGCACTTAGCGTTGGTTGAGAAGGCAGAGCCCATGTTAAGTGTGCTTATCACAAAGAAGGGGGCACAAGGACACTTGCAGGTGATGGACATAATTTATCTCTGTGATCGTGGGGCTGGTGTTACAGGTGTGCACACCTGTCCAAACTCATCGAATAGCAAAGGTGCGGTTCTTTTGTGTATCAATCATACCTCAATAAAGCTGTTAAAAAATAATAACTAAAAACCTCAACTTGCCTTTTCCCCTATTTATCAATAATAGTACATCACCATCCCCAAGAAACAGCACAACTTCCTCCTGGCCTTTCCCACGCCTGCGCAGAGGAACATGTTCTGAGTGGGGGGGAGGGGCCAGCCCTCCCTCCACACGTTCCTGCCTCTGCCTCGATCCCTCCCGCTGAGGGCTGGTGGCTGAAACACTCGGGGTCTCTGTTCTTTTTGCCTCCTCCTCCTCGGTGGGGTGGGCCAGGACTGCCACAGACCTTGGGTGGTGCCTACCCAGAGTAGAGTCTCCCCTGTCCCCGCCTCGCTCTCCAGGGCTCCAGCTCCATTGGGATAGTGGCTGGCTTTCCTTGTCCCTGCCCTACCTGCCCTGGCATAATGGGGGCCCTAACCCCTGCAGCAGTTTGGGAATCCCAGCTACAGCAGCAGCCCCACGGGCTTGTTCGTGTGCGGCCCTAGTTCTAGATCCACAATGGAAGGCTGAGGGTACAGGCTTTGGAGTTGTTTGGTTCATGACTGTTCACGGAGCTGGCAATTTATCCTCAGTTTTAGCTCCCAGTACTCTAAGTTGAGGTGAGACTCACAGAACATAAAATTAACTATTTTAAAGTAAACAGTTCAGTGGCATTTAGTGCACTCACAATGTTGTGAAGTCACCACCTCTACCTGGCTCCAGACTTTCCATCACCTCCAGGTAGTGGCTTAGGTCAAGAGCGGCCTGTGACCTGGATGGCATCCTTCAAGTGTTGGGCAGCCAAGCTGGTGCCCAGCAGGCCATATCAGCCAGCCCTGGCCACGCGGCTCCATACAGGTCATGTCCAGGCTGCAGGATTGGGCATGACCCCCGAAGGGGCCCCCAAGCTCCATCCCTTGACAGGACTCAGTGACATGAGCCCCACCACATGCCCACTTTCTGCTCTGCCCCTAAGGTAAACACCCCTTTATCCCCCTCCCAGATTCTAGACGCTCATGAACGCCACTGCCTTTCCAGTGTAGATTTCAGCCCTTCCTGGCAATGGCTCCACAAGGTCTGAGGTGACATTGCCCCCAGCCCGCTAGCTTGGAGCCCACTACAGGCAGGATGTGGTGCCTTCCAGGCCCCTGGTCCTCAGAATTGCAGCCAGCACTGGGTCCTGGCGACCGTGCGTGAAGGAATTATGGAGACTTCCTGGCACTTGGTGTCCTACCCTGTCAAACAAGGGCTCCTGATTCAACGTCCTGTCTGAACCTCGGTCTTCAGATGATTTCAGTGAAATCACGCTGTTCCACTACCTTTGCTCTTTGCTGGGATCCTCTGTGTTGCAAAGCACGGTTGAGTTCTCTGGTTTTTTCCAGGTGGCTGTATGGGGAACCGAACCCTTGACCTCGGCATTACAAGGCTGCACTCTAACCTACTGAGCTAAACCAGCCAGCCCTGAATTTGGTTTTTTGAGGCACAAGCACAGAACGGCTGATTCCTGGAGGGCACAGAGGAGAGGCAGAGATGTCCAGAGCACAACCTCTGCATCTAGATCCCCGAATGGTCAGGCCTTGGTCAGTGATCACAGCTTCCCTAACTTTTGCCCCCACTTGTTCTGAAGGCAGCTGGGCTTCACGATTCCCACAGCCCATATTTCGCCTATAGGCTGGGTGGCTTCCCATCTACGGGCTCTCTCTCCTTTCTGTTTTCCCTGCTGGTTTGTGAGCTTCACGAGGTCAAGAACTTGAGGGACGGTCAAGGCACACAGGAACCCATTCTTATTTCCCTCACAGTAAGTCAAAGGTCTTGGATGACCCTTGTCACTGATCCTAGAGATGTGACACCAAGACAATCCAGTCATATAAACATTTTCCAAAATGAATGGGCAAACCCATAGTCTTTGTACAAACATAGGAAACCCTATTTCCATATCATCTCAAACCTAATCAATATAATTTTTATTGTATTAACTACATACAAGCTAAATTGAATAACAACCTGAACATTTTTACATTTTAAAATTGCAGTATTCTTTTCATACTTTGATCCCAGGAATAAAATGTTTTTTTCTGGTCTCAAACATTTTCATAGGCCTTTGAAACTTTCAATGGCTCTGTTTCCAAATTGGGAGCTATGTGCCTGACAGATCAAACAGCCCCAAACAACACAGGAACACACTGCTGCCCGCGCTGAGAAATTCCAGTTTATAAAAGGTCACGGGTCCCCACTGTGCATAGCAGCATTATTCACAATAGCCAAAAGGTAGAAGCAACCCAGTGTCCACCGATGGATAGACGGATAAACAAAATACGGTCTATCCATACACTGGGATATTGTTCTGCCTTAAAAAAGAGAGAAATTCTGACACAACATAGATGAACCTTGAGGACATTATGCTCAGCGAAATAAACTAGCCACAAAAGGACAAATACTGTATGATTCCACTTATAGGAGGTCCCTGGAGTCCTCAGACTCGGAAAGTAGAATGGAGATTGTCAGGGGCTAGGGGAGGACGAATGGGGAGTTGTTAAGTGGGGACAGAGCTTCGCTTTTAGAAGAAGAAAGCTCTGGAGATGGATGGTGGGGACGGTTGTTCAGCACGTGTGTTAACACAATGTGTGCCAGATACACTGAGCTGTGCCCTTAAAAATGGTTAAAGTGGTCAATTTTATGTTAAGCATATTTTACCACAATAAAAACAAAGGTCCCAGGCCGACCTCGAGTGCCCTGGAGGCACAGTTGTTTCTCAACTTGGAGAACAGTCCAACCACAGCCCCATTATTTTGAAATGTTCTTCTATACAAGGAGTCTCTTTTCCTGGACACTCGTTTATAAATCTCTCAGATCAGACACCTCTCCAGTTTTTCCTTCCAAACATCAATGTCGGGTTTGATTCCACAGTATAGCGATCTGCTAAATAAAAGCTTGATGCCAAATCTTGCGAAGACATTATAAATCCCAATAAATGATTCCCTAAATCATAGGTATCATTTTTTTTAGCATAAGCCCCTCAGATTAATGCCGTGTCTCCCCCACCTCCCTGGCCTGTCTTTTAACCTTTACAGCAGCACAGATGGCTGGGACCAACAGGAGAAGGTGGGACCACCACCCTGACAAGGTGCACCCCTGATAAGGGGCAAAACTTGCTCTGCGGGACCCCAATCAGGGTCCGTGCAAGCGTCCTCTTGGACTTTCACATACAGAAACACAGCGCATGCAGGAGAGCTCAGGAGACTGGATTTCTCTTGCTGAAAAACTTCCCCTGGTAGTTGATCGTTGCTTGAGTATTCAGTGGTCCTACCTCTTTGTCTTAGGCAGTAGAAGTGAGACCAGCCAGCCTGCAGTTTCCAGACAAGACACCAGCCCCAAAGAGAGAAGTACACAGGAGCAGGTCCCAGGCAGAGCCTGGCAAAATCCCCCCAGTCCAGCCTCTTCGTCCTTCCCTGTTCCCGCCCTCAGCCTTTCATCATTCCATGTGCACGATGGCCAGACCACACATAATAACGTGAGAAGCTGGAAGCCACACAGGCCTCTGCAGTGACTGGCCCATCAGCCCCAAGATTCAGGACCCACTCAGTGACCGCTGCTTCCGTCCCCACTTCCAACTCAGGACCAACCAGAGAAAGCCAAATAACCCCCAACCAATCACAAGGGACACCCCTTCTTGTCCGCCACCCCCACCTTCCCCAGGGCCATGGCTGGGACCCCTCGTCCTCAGTCCAAGCTTCCCGCACGTCCTACCTGCCCAGAGTCTGCCATTCGCTCTGAGTCAGCAGCCTGGGTGTGTTCTCACGTGGGCAGTCTTCATTTATTTCTGCTTAGGTCTGTTTGCCAATTCAATAAGCTTCTACCTACTGTTTGTTCGTTGTTTATTCCTTACGGACTATGTGCCAGGCACCGTGCAGGCTCTAAGGAGGAAGAGCCTGTGCCGCTCCTGGCAGCGAGGTGATCTTGGTCTGTTTGGGAAATGGCCATGACTACAGATAAATGTGCAGAGTGTGGTAGACAACTTCAGGCGGGGCTGCCAGCTCCGCAGGGCAGTCGGAGGAGGCTTTGCCGGGACAGTGACTCCTGCTGCAGAGAAGTCAGGTCCAGAAGGTCATGCATGAGAGAGAAGACCTCCAGGCACAGGGAAGGCAGTAGGTGGGGAGGGGGTGGGAGGAGCCAGGCTAGGCATCGTGTCCTTTTCTAACAACTGGGTCACTGAAGGGTTCCAGGCTCAAATGACAGGCAGGCTTCTGGGACAGGGTGAGGCTGGAGCCGAGGAGGCTATAGTCCGGGCAGGGCTGGTGGGAACACAGGTGGGAAGGGAGGCCCCAGGGTTCTGGTGACAGGTGTAGATAGGAAAAGGTGTTTAATGTGTTCATTTTGGCTCGCTGCACAGCAGAGCGCTCCAAAGCCCAGAGGCCTGAAAGGATGTGTTCTTACTGCTAAAGTCCGTGGATTGACTGGGCTCAGCTGGGCAGTTCTCCCCGCAGGGGCCCAGGCATGGGCAATCAGAGCGGCTGGGCTGCCTAAATGATCAGAAGACTCGACCGGGCTGAGAGCCCAAGACGGTTCTTCCGTCACATGCCTGGTACCTGGGGGTGGCGGGAGCAGCTGGAAGCGATGGGCATCTCTGCCAGCCTCCCGCGGCTGGCTTGGGCTTCCTCACAACGTGGCAGCTGGGGAGAGGGGCACCTGCTCTCCTGATGGCCACCTTCCCCAGAACACATGCTCCAAGAGTGCCAGGAGGAGCTGCAGGTCCCAAGGCCGCAAAGCATTGAGTCTGCTGCATCCTATTTGTCAGAAGCAAGTCCCAGAGACAGCCCCGGGTCATGGCCACCTTCCCCAGAACACATGCTCCAAGAGTGCCAGGAGGAGCTGCAGGTCCCAAGGCCACAAAGCATTGAGTCTGCTGCATCCTATTTGTCAGAAGCAAGTCCCAGAGACAGCCCCGGGTCAATGTGGAGGAGATAAATGGAGTTATCTGAGCTGGGCTGTATGCTGGAGAGCAGCCACTCGAAACCATGGGTGTGAGTGGACACTGTCACCCAGTGAGAGCATGTAGGGTGAGAAGCCACATGAGGTGGGGGGAGAGGGCAATGGGTATGGGGTTTCCTCCTGGCGTGACGGAAATATTCTGAAATTAGACCATAGTGATGTTTGCACAGCCCTGTGAATCCCTAAAAACAATGAATTGTACACTTGAAGTCAGTGAATTTTATCATATGTGAATTATACCTCAAAAAAAGCTGTTGTTTACTGGGCCTGGCCGGTTAGCTAACTTGGGAGAGTATGGGGCTGGTAACACCAGGGTCATGGATTCAGCTCCCTATACCAGCCAGCTGCAAACAAACAAACAAAGCCATTATAAAATTTTTTAGAGAGAAAGGTTATATAATTTTAAAACAAAAATAAATCTGTTTATTTATACAATATGTCTAGAACAGGTAAATCCATAGAAAAAGAAACCAGTGCTGGCCAGTTAGTTCATGGGTTAGAGTGCAGCATTATAACACCAAGGTCACTGGTTCAGATCCCTGTACTGGCCAGCTGCCAAAAAAAGGGGAAAAAAAAGAAACTAGATTAGTGAGAAAAAACCTAAATGTCCTTAGACAGATGAATGGATAAAGAAAATGTGGTCTGTACATACAATGGAATATTACTCAGCCTTTAAAAAGAAGGAAATTCTGGGCTGAGCCCGTGGCGCACTTGGGAGAGTGTGGCACTGGGAGCGCAGGGACGCTCCCGCCACGGGTTCGGATCCTATATAGGGATGACCGGTGCACTCACTGGCTGAGCGCGGTGCGGCCGGTCTCCAAAAGGACAAAAAAATAAAATAAAAAATAAAATAAATAAGTAAAAAGAAGGAAATTCTGACACATGCTATGACATGAATGAACCTTGAGGACATTGTACTGATAAATAAAAAGAAGGAAATTCTGACACATGCTATGACATGAATGAACCTTGAGGACATTGTACTGAGTGAAATAAGCCAGTCACAAAAGGACAGATCCTGCATGAGTCCACTTAGAAGAGGTAAGTGAAATAAGCCAGTCACAAAAGGACAGATCCTGCATGAGTCCACTTAGAAGAGGTATCTAAAATAGTCAAATGCACAGAAGCAAAGTGTAGCCCGGGCCTGGGGGGACGAGGAAATTAGGCGCTCCCAACAATGAGTATAAAGTTCCAGCCAGGCAGGATGGTGAGCTCTGGGGGTCGGCTGCACGGGCTGCACAGCGTCTCCCCCTATAGTCGACCGTAACGCAGGGTGCACTTAAAAGTCTAATGGGGTCCATATCTCAGGGTCAGTGTTCTTTCCACAATAAAAAAATAAAGAATCTTAATAATAAACCCTGCACTTAAAAGTCTAATGGGGTCCATATCTCAGGGTCAGTGTTCTTACCACAATAAAAAAAATAAAGAATCTTAATAATAAACCCTGCACTTAAAAGTCTAATGGGGTCCATATCTCAGGGTCAGTGTTCTTTCCACAATAAAAAAATAAAGAATCTTAATAATAAACCCTGCACTTAAAAGTCTAATGGGGTCCATATCTCAGGGTCAGTGTTCTTTCCACAATAAAAAAATAAAGAATCTTAATAATAAACCCTGCACTTAAAAGTCTAATGGGGTCCATATCTCAGGGTCAGTGTTCTTTCCACAATAAAAAAATAAAGAATCTTAATAATAAACCCTGCACTTAAAAGTCTAATGGGGTCCATATCTCAGGGTCAGTGTTCTTTCCACAATAAAAAAATAAAGAATCTTAATAATAAACCCTGCACTTAAAAGTCTAATGGGGTCCATATCTCAGGGTCAGTGTTCTTTCCACAATAAAAAAATAAAGAATCTTAATAATAAACCCTGCACTTAAAAGTCTAATGGGGTCCATATCTCAGGGTCAGTGTTCTTTCCACAATAAAAAAATAAAGAATCTTAATAATAAACCCTGCACTTAAAAGTCTAATGGGGTCCATATCTCAGGGTCAGTGTTCTTTCCACAATAAAAAAATAAAGAATCTTAATAATAAACCCTGCACTTAAAAGTCTAATGGGGTCCATATCTCAGGGTCAGTGTTCTTTCCACAATAAAAAAATAAAGAATCTTAATAATAAACCCTGCACTTAAAAGTCTAATGGGGTCCATATCTCAGGGTCAGTGTTCTTTCCACAATAAAAAAATAAAGAATCTTAATAATAAACCCTGCACTTAAAAGTCTAATGGGGTCCATATCTCAGGGTCAGTGTTCTTTCCACAATAAAAAAATAAAGAATCTTAATAATAAACCCTGCACTTAAAAGTCTAATGGGGTCCATATCTCAGGGTCAGTGTTCTTTCCACAATAAAAAAATAAAGAATCTTAATAATAAACCCTGCACTTAAAAGTCTAATGGGGTCCATATCTCAGGGTCAGTGTTCTTTCCACAATAAAAAAATAAAGAATCTTAATAATAAACCCTGCACTTAAAAGTCTAATGGGGTCCATATCTCAGGGTCTCTTGGACGAACTCGCGACGACACAGCCTGCCTTTTCTTCCAGGAAAGGATAAAGGAAAACACTCCATCTGCTGAGAAGAGAAAACCCCGGCAACAGTGGGGAGGCCACCGCGGAGGCCCCCTGAGCTTTGGTATTTCACCCAGACAGTCTAGGTGTGTGCATTGTTTGCAGTCGTCCTGCCTGGGTCGCAAAAGTCGGATCAATCTGTGGACTCAGGTCTTCGTCCACAGGGGAAACGTTTTCCTCTGCGCGCGTCGCGGCCCGCGGCCTCAGTTTCCCTTTCTGGACTCGCAGTGGCTCAGCCTTCTGCACCTCTCCTCAGCTCTGCTCCCCACACCCCTCTGCGTCCCGCCCCCGTGCCGTTTCTTCTCCTCGGTTTGCAGGACAACTATTTAGCTTTGGGGAATGAGTGTGCTCTTTTCGTTCATGAATGGGTCGTGCCCCGGGACCCAGTATTTCTGGTGTCCTGGCCGCGTGCCACCGCCAGTCCTGCTGCCTTTGCCCCACTCGCCGGCTGCTTGCGGTCTGACACGGTGACCAGCCCGGGGCCAGCGGAAAGCCCTGGGTGGCCCGTGCCTGTGACCCCCGCTCGGGGAGGAGCCTCCCGCCGGCAGCAGCTCCAGCGGGCCGGGGACAAGGCTCTCCCCGCACCACAGGCGACCGGCGAGCGGGAGCTGCTTCCCCAAGAGGATTCACAGGCCAGGTGCTCCGAGCCCCCTGGGAGCCTACAGGGATCGCGACGAGGGCCCTGAAGGGTCACGAGGGTCTTAGGAACGGGACGAGGCACCCACTAAGGGACTCTCGGTGACATAAGGCAGCCCTCTCCTGAGGAAAAGCCCAGGGTCCGAGCTCCCAGAGGTCCTTCCCCGGGTGGCCCTTCCCACCGCAGCACCAGGACTCTTTAGCCATCACTCCCCAGGCCCCATTCCCAGGCCCTGGCAACCGGTAATCCACGTCCTGTCTCTATGGATTTGTCTGTTCTGGACGCTTCGTATACATGGACTCTTACAATATGTGGTCTTTGGGGACTGGCTTCTTTCTCATACTTAATGCTCTCAAGGTTCGTCCACGGTATAGCATGTGTCAGTACTTCATTCCTTTTCATTGCAGAATAATATTCCATTGTATGGATAGACCACACATTATTTCTCCATTCATCAGTTGACAGACATTTGGGCTGTTTCCAATTTTGGCTATGACCATTGCTGCTATGAACATTCATGTGCAAGTTTCTGTGTGAACATATTTCCATTTCTCTTGGGTATTCCTCCTACAAGTGGAATTGTTGGGTCTTATGATAACTGTAGGTTTAACCTTTTAAAGGACTGCCAGATGGTTTTCCAAAGTGGCTGCACCATTTACATGCTCTCGAACAGTGTACGAAGGATCTAATTTCTCCACATCTTTGGCAAAACTTGTTATTGCCTATTTGATTACAGCTATCCTAGTGGGTGCGAAGTGGCTTCAATTTGCATTTCCCTACTGACTGATAATGCTAAACTTTTCTTTTTTCATGTTCATGTGCTTTTTGGCCATTTGTATATCTTTCTTGGAAAAATCTCTATTTGGATTCTTTGCCCAATTTTTAAATTGGTTGTCATTTTATTATTAAGCTGTAAGGGTTTTTTAAACATATATTCTAGGTATAAGTTCCTTACCATATATATGATTTGCAAATATTTTCTCCCATTCTGTAGACTCTCTTTTCACTTTCTGGATGGTGTTCTTTGAAGAGAAAAAGTTTTTCATTTTGGTGAAGTACAGTTTATCTACTGTTTCTTTTGTTGCTTATGCTCTTGTCATTTCTAAGAATCCACTGCCAAATTTAAGATCACAAATATTTACTCCTACGTTTTTTTCTAAGATTTTTATAGTTTTAGCTCTTACATTTAAGTCTTGGATGCATCTTTAGTTCATTTTTGTCTATGATGTGAGGTAGGGGTTCAACTTCATTCCTTTGCATGTGGTTGTCCAGTTGTGCCAGCACCATTTAACCATTTAATTGCTGTCATAAGGCTGAGCTCTAACCAACTGAGCTCATCAGCCAGCCCATTTTATTGAAAGACTACTTTTTTCCCATTGAATTATTTTGGCACAATTGTCAAAAATCAATTAATTTTATTCTATTTTACTTATTTACATTTTATTTCTGGGCTCCAATTTAATGTATACATGTACACTTCCATTCTTATGCCAGTATGTGAAATTACTGGCCCCGTGGTGACTGTATGTTGAGTGCTGGCACTTTGTAGCAAGTTTTGAATTTGGGAAGAGTATGTCCTCCATCTTCGTTCTTCTTATTCAAGATTGTTTTTGCTATTCTGGGTCCCTTGCACTTCCATATGAATTTTAGGATCAGCTTCTTAATTCCTGCCAAGAAGCTACCTGGAATTTTGATAAGGATTGCACTAAAGCTGCAGATACATTTGGGAAGTAGTTTAATAATATTAAACCTAGTTTAATAATATTAAACCTAGTTTAATAATATTAAACCTAGTTTAATAATATTAAACCTAGTTTAATAATAAAGCTGCAGATACATTTGGGAAGATAGTTTAATAATATTAAACCTTCTGGTCCATAAACATGGGATATCTTTTCATTGATTTAGATCTTCTTTAATTTCAATATAATGTTTCATAGGTTTCAGAGTATAAATTGTGGACTACTTTGGCTAAATTTATTTCTAAATATTTTACTCTTTTTGCTGCTTTTGTAGATGAAATTGTTTCTTTTTCTTTTTCCATAAGTGAAGGCCACTGATGGAATTGTTTCTTAATTTCATTTTCAGACTATTCATTGCAAGTATTAGAAATATAACTAATTTTTGTAAATTGATTTTGTATCCTGAAACTTTGTGGAGCTTGTTTACCAGTTCTAATAGTTTTTAGTGGATTCCTTGGGATTTTCCATATACAATATTAAACCATCTGCAAGTGGTTTTCTTTCTTCCTTTCCAATTTCTTGCCTTCTTCCTCTAGTTAGAATCTTCTATTCACTGATGAATAGAAGTGGTAAGACAGGACATGCTTGTCTTTTTCCTGGTTATAGGGAGAAAGCAACCATTCTCTCCACCAGTAAGAATGATGTCAAACTCACAGAAGCAGACACTGGGGAGAGGGGTAATGAGGGAGTTGCTATTCAATGGGTATAAAGTTTCAGTTATAGTTATAGTTAAGAATAAGTTCTAGAGATCTCCTGTACAACATCATGCCTATAGTTAACAATACTGTACTGTACATTCAAAACTTGTTTAAAAGGTAGATCTCATGTTAAATGTTCTTACCACAATAATTTTTTTAATGATGTTAACTGTGGGTTTTTTGCAAATAACCTTTATCAAGTTGAGAAAGTTTCTTTCTATTCCTAATTTGTTGAGTGTTTCTATCAAGAATGGATGTTGAATTTTGTCAAATGTTTTTTTCTGCATCTGTTGGGATGATTGTGTGGTTTTTATTCTTTATTTTATTCATATGGCAATATTACCCAAAACGAACTAGAGATTCAATGCAATCCCTATCAAAATTCTAACGGCCTTTTCTGCGGAAATGGTAAAGCTGATCCTCAGATTCATATGGAATTGCAAGGGGCTCCAAGCAGCCAAAACAATATTGAACAGGAACAAAAGTGGAGAACTTACAATTCCCTATTTCAAAACCAACTACAAAACCGCGTGGTACTGGCATGTTTTGGAACTAGACAGAGGCGGTGGATGCACCATATTGTGAATGTTGTAAATGCCACCTTAAAATGGTTAATTACATGACATGTGGATTTCACCTCAATAAAAGAATAAAGTGTAAAACATCACCATTTTGTGAAATACTGTGATGTCTCAGATTTGCTTCAAGATAATGCGGGTGGGGAGGGAATATAAAAAGTTACAGAAAAACAACTCTGGTTTGCAAAGAAAAAAAAGGAACACGAGCGGATAGAAGTAGAGTAGAGAGCCACTGCAGCAACCCGGGAGAGACCGAGGCCGAGCCGGGGTGGGGAAGGGGCAGGAACCGACAGCCCCGCGCGCGTCTGTAGGTGGAAGCGAGAGGGCGACTCCGGGCCCGAGCGCCGGGCGGGCGGCGGCGCCGGGGTCGGGGATGGCGCTCCGGGCGGGCGGGCGGC